CTAAAACTATCGAAAAACACAAAATCAATTTTTGTACGAATAGAGATTCGAACATGTGAACTTAGCTTTGTAGTAAACTACAAAACTAAATTCACCGTTCTGTGTCTATATTCTGTACAATGATTGAAGTTGTGCAATCGACTCGATGTCACCAGTAGTCATTTTTTTTTGGTATGGTTTTTGTGTTCTGTTTTTTTTAGAGCCATTGTTATGTCCGCTCGTCACTGTACTACTCACTCTATGTCATTCCTTCGAATTCCTTTCTCTTGTGTTATTAGTGTTTATTCTTAGTCATTCTACGTTCTTTCTTCTTTCCCGTTTTGTAATAATACATTCTTTCTTTGTGCATTCTTTAGTCATATAACTTGAGTCAGTGTTCTCACTTTACTTGTATATACTGATACTTATAAACGGCTTAAGTTCAGTAGTTCTTTGTGTTTTTTTGGTAAATTGGTATAAAATAAAAGGGCTGGCTAGCATACCGATACACTGGCCGATGTCTATAACCTGTTTATATGGAGAACCCGGACCATCGCCAACCACAAGACAAGTATGTATCAGGGTTGTTCTTTGAAGAATGTATCACATTTACATCAACTTTCTGCCAATCGTATGGCACTTTCAGAGCCAGTAAGACACATTGTACGTTTCGGTAGAATTTTAAACTTTTTCTAAAAACAAATATTTCCACGAGACCCAGTGTGGTTGAATATGCATAGTTCATCCGTCTTGAAGGCTACCAATCGTCACTGGGGAGTAGTCTTGGGATTCGTAGGAAATCCGATACAATGCCCGAAGCGCGGAAAATCAAGGTCTCACTTGACTCTCAATTTGAAAAGGACACCCTGGGCTATCAGTCTGTGAAAACAAATCGATACAATCGTATTGGAAAATTTTTACACACGAGCTAGTTTTCCAAAGATCCCCCAGAAAACTTGTTTCAAAAAGCTCTTCTGGGAAAAATTTTGGTTGTGAAAACATGTCCTCCAGTCTCCTCTTTCGAAGGGTAAAACTTGGAGCTCTTTAGCTTTTTCCTGTCAAAAGTTATTCATTTTTCTTACCTAATTCAATTAAAATATAACAAAATACGGCCACAAATTTTGCTTTAATGTTGAACAATGACAAAAATTGAATTGCCCATTCATTAGCTAATTTTGTATCTAATTTTTTTAAACTCTACAATTTCAGCTTCTAATTCTGGATAAGTTGAATGCCATCGATCTTTACCAGCAGCAAAAACTATTTGATTAAATGTATCAAAAATAATTGTTTTCGATGGATGTTCAACTAAATCACCAAAGAGATGTATCAGAAGTAATGCATCTACTGGTAAATGTTTACTAATTAGTTTTGTTACTGAAAGCAATTGTTTACATAATAATTTATAATCACCGCTTGACCATTTTATGATACATATCCAAGCGTTAACGTCAATGATGCTCGAAAACGTGGATCTGTAATATGATATTAAAATAAATCAGCAACTTTCATAGGATCATTTTTTATTTTTAATTTTGATCGCTGTAAATTAATCATATGTAAACAAGTAAAATATTCTTGAAATGTTAAATGTAAAAATCCATAAACAAATTTACCACGTGCAGCTAAAATACCAACATCTTCTCGTATCATATGAATAAATTCATTTGCTTCATTTTCTAATGCTTTTGTTTGTAGAGTTTTACATTGTGAATCATAGGTAATCAATGCATGAATACATGAACGTTTTAAATCATATTCTTTAATGAGACTTGATGCAGAATATTGGTGAATATGTGTTGCTAAGTTGCATAGAATCCAATTCAATTTAGAAGCATCAATAGTTGAATTTAATTTATTTTGCCAAAGATTCATCATTGAATTAATAGCTTCTTGATATAATCGAATACGTTGTGTTGGTAATGTTTCACCGTGCATATGAAATGATAAATCACAAATAACTGATAATAAAAATGGATTTGATGATAATTCTCCGAAACCAATATTATTAGGATTATGAATTTCTTTTTTTAATATTTATTGACCTTCCATTTATCGCAAATAGTTTCATTATCAGTAATACTAATCGTCAAAAGTTGCAATAATTGTGTATGAACAGCTTGAAACCATTTATCAACGAAATGTTTCATGTCATCTGTTTCCATTGGTTCTATTATATAATGAGCAAAATTACCAGACAATGGTCCAACATGATATCCAACAATTCCACTTGTTAAAAGCAACTGATTTCCACCTGACTTCATCGGCAAATCTAAATCCGATAAATTTTTATTACAATAAATTTTCATCATCAAATACAGAAACATTAGATGGTATTTGTGGTATACGAAATATTATGTTTTCTTTAGTTGGAGCATCGTTTTTGTTTGATCGAGTGGTGTATATATGATAGAAATCGTCTCGAATAATTTTCTCAATAAAATTTTGTGGATAACTCTTTTTTCTTCCAGTTAATACTCTAATGACGTCCAGTTCATTGTGTAATATCTGTCTGATAAGTTGAACTGACGTTAAAAGCACGACAGCCCATGGTTGAAATGGCATTGTGTTTATACCTTTTGGCTATAAAACTCAGCCATTTAGCCGTCAGTCCTGTGAAACTCGGTTTTCAATATACGCTAGTAGTACAGCCTTGTTCGGTTTTCTTTAAAAGAACATCTAGAAAGGGTAACGTGTGTTCATTTGCATTTTCTTCTTCGAAAGTGAATTTAATTGATGAATGCGATTTGTTCAAAAATTGGGCACTATTTCCTGCTGTCTCTTCCGATTTTAACAGAACAAAAGTGTTATCAACATATCTACGCCAATACTTAACACCAATATCTTTTAGTTTTCCCATATGTTTCCTCTCTTAATTTTGCATGAATAACTTAGCCATTAATGGAGCTAGATGGTGGGAAATAGACCTCATCTATTTGGTCATATACTTTACCACTGAATTAAAAATGTGACTGTTTGGCGGCAAAATTTAACAGTTTCTTAAAATCAATGCGTTTCATATTCGGTTTTGGTAATGATGACTTGTACAATTAATCTAGTATTATTTCTATTGTTTCATCTAACGGTACATTAGTGTACAAGCTAGAGATCTCAAACAAAATCATATTTGTGTCATTAATCAGTTGATATTGCTTGCGAATTTCTTTGGCAAAAGTAAAAGAATCTTTAACTGTGTACGTTTTTTCTAGAATAGGTTCAAATAACGATATTAGTGCTTTTCCTAACCTATATTTAAACGTATTCACTGTTGATAATACTGTTCTCAAGGGTACATTACTCTTTTATAGTTTCGGAAGATCATTTAGTTTACCTGGACTCGGTTCAGTCGGTCTGGCCTTATTGCAGAATTCTTGGTTAATCTGTCCTTGCTTCAATAATCTTAGAAGTAGATTAACCAACCTGTTCTGACGTTTAATTTTAGGATCTTCAATCAGGAGAACGAACTTTGTCCGATCATTTAGAATTGCATTCATCTTATCTATATAGTCTTCATGACTTAACATATATATATATTTCTTTTTTGAATAATACGGACATTTGTTAAAAACTGGACTAGTCATAACGAGCGAAAGGGACGTTCCAGACTAGTCCTGACGGGATATACGGACATTTCGAACCAGTCATGACGGCCGTCTTCAGTAATTCAGTACACATATCTATTGGTTATTATCTTCGTTACCAATTTGGGTTTGTTTTCTCTTTGAAGAAAACGTGGGAGAAAGATATTGCCCTCAAATGGTTTGAGAGAAAAAGTGGGAGAAACAGTTTTCTGTTAAATATTGATCCGATTCACTACCAAATGTGGACAAGAGCTCTGACGAAATCTTTGGGAGAAAAGAGATTGTTAAAGAAAAAAGATTTTCTTGAAAAGCAGGAGTGGCGTACATCCTCTCACGCACCTTTCTTAAGCACGGCACTGCGTTTAACCTTCTGATTTCAAACAGATGGAATTCCGTAACAACGGATATTTTGAGATTTTTATTTGATACGTGAACCAATTTTAAACAATAAGTTTATGTCCTGAAAGCTGACTAAAAACTGCACAATTAGAAGAGTTTTTTCTATCATTCTTCCAGTGTATAGAAAAACGAAGACGTTTGAAGGTACTGAAAAAAAATTCGATTTTTTTGTCCTTCCGTAATTTATCCAAATCGCTTATTCTCTGTTCTAACAGTGTAAGTATTTATTCTGTTGTGACAGTGTATGTAGATTCAGATTTTATGTTGCAAAATTATGTAGTCAGAAAAATATATTTCTAAAAGAAAGATTAAAGCTTTACAAATGTAAAGTCTATTTAGTCAAATAAAATATGTCAATAGAAAGAAAAACATAATACGTATTTGAAAATGATAAGGCAATAAGAAGTTTATATCTCAAGGTTTGTATGACAAAGTTACTCATCAGAAAAAGAATTAAATTTCTCAATTATGTAATTTTGTACCTAATGTAAAAGAAATCAAATTTCACATATTTTCTCTACAAATAGGAGAGTTTTTTCTATCATTCTCTCAGTGTATAGAAAACGAAGACGTTTGAAGGTACTGAAAAAAAATTCCATTTTTGTCCTTCCGTAATTCATCCAAAGCGCTTGGCTTGACAGTTCTTTTGGTAATACAACCCGAGGTCAACTGTATGTTTTTCGATAGTTTTAGTTTAGAATTCTATAATGGAATATGTTTCCGCTTGTATTCTGACAGAATAAAACTTATATCAACCCGAGGTCATCTATCAATGGTAAAAATTCCAGAACTCTGTCTCTCATCATAACTGGGGTATAACACTTAGATAGTGAAAAAAGGGAATTCCGTCACGGCGTGTCTCGAATTGAACTACCACTTGATAAAATTTAGAACCTTTTAATTTGCGCAAAGAAAGAAGATCTACATTTAGTATTTAGGAATAGGCATGGGTCGGTTAAAGCCCGTTTCTGTTATGATCGGCTAACCGAAACCAGTGCATGCCTATTTGGGAATATCGAGCAAATTAAATATTCCATTAAAACCATAGTTTTCGTTTAATCCGGGTTCAAATTCATTAACAGCAATTATTCAACAAAAGAGCATCGGCAACAAAATGTTAGATCATCTTCAGGTCGAAGAGGAGAGCATATAGTGGACAACAGCGTGGACATTAGGTAAAAAAGCATAAGTGAGCTTTTTAATTATTTGAATGGCGGAGCATATTCTTGGGGAAAAGACAAATCTTTTTGGGCTAGGAAGTTTTTCTCTAACTCTTTTCATTGCTGAGATAGAGCATTTCCAAGGTTTAACTAGATTTGAGGAGCCTCTGAGAAAAAGAGTCGGTAGCGGCGAACGTAAGAAGAGTGTAGGGATGAACTTATCATATTCGGAAAGGGGAGATCTCCTACAAAAAATGCATTCTTTTTTGGCTAAGTATTTTCCCAAGTATAGTAAATATTTTTCTTAGTAAAGTGACCCGCGCCATCCTTATCCATCACTTGTTTTCTCTGTGCTGACCTAGTCAAAGTTTCTCACTTAACTTTTTGTCAGTACCACTGTCAATTTAACATCCAGGACATGAAATAAATTTGATTTGACTTGAAACTTTTAAGGTTTGTTCTTCTACATATGGAGCATCTATACTATATGCACAAATATGCACAAAATCTCCAGAGAGGAGATATGAATTTTACAAAAACTTTCGATTTTTTGAGGTTTTCGTCTCTTTTTTCGACGAAAAAATATCGTTTTGGAAACAAACAATATATTCGGATTCGTCGTAAAAAACTGCGTCGAATGGTGTAAAATTCAGCCGTTTGTGTACTGAAAATTTTGAATTTAGTTGATTCCTTTGTTTCTTGCATGTGCGTATAGAGCTTTTTGACTGAAATTTTAAAATTTGAAATTATCAACAGATGAAATCGTCTAAACACTTTTTAGTTTTTTTTTTCGCTTTTAAGTTTTCCTCTAGCTTGCAGCCCAAAAGTTCACGTGTCTAGTGGAAATTGCCTGCTGTGGAGTAACAGCAATCTTTATACCAGAATCGTTATGGACCGTGTAAAGTTTGTGGCAGAAGCGATCATTCATGAGTTAATTGTATTCAACGAAAATCATTTAGGTGTTTCAATTGTGAACAAAATTATGCAGTCCGTGGTTGTCAACAGTCACCACATATTCAATAACTGGGAGGCATGATGGCGGTATTCCCAGTAAATTAGACGCCAGCGACATCTTTCTGTCCAATTAACAGTGGGCATATAGGCGGACTTTTGGTCGAAAATCGAAAATGAACTTTTCTGTTATTTAAATACTATCAAACATACCGTGGTAAATACGCTATCGAATTGCGTAAAAATTTGTATTCTGTGACTTTTCCTTATGGAATTATTCGAGAAAGAAAACATGTTGACATAAGGAAAACGCTAGGAAAACAGACGTGTACAGTATAATTAAAACGCGAGAGTTATCGGAGGAACATTCTTACTTATTTTTTCACCAAAAAGCTCCTTAGTATATCCTGTATCTGTAGTATACTCCCAAAATCTCACAATGTTTTCCGATTCCGATAGTTACAGGTTTTCTAAAAATTCTTTGTTCTCGAGATAATTGGGACTTTTCTACCTGTATATGTTACTTTACCTGACTAATTTATATATATTCGGATTCCGCGCGAAAAACTACGTCGACTAGTATGTCTAAAAACCAATGTTAGCAAAATCAGTCGGAAAACACGAAAAATATGCCTTTCGTTTCTTGCGCATAAGTCTAACAAATCTACTGTTTGAAAGAATACGTTATACCTCATTCTGTAGCCCTTTCAACTGCATCTTTCTATATACGAACTGTGCCTAATCTCTGCCTGCAAAAAGAACTATAATCATTTTTATGTGCCATTATAAGAAACAAATCGAGATATATGTCAAGTATTTGCGGCATATATTTAGAAACATACACGTGTTACAACTCATTTTGTAGCCCGTGGAATTCTCTATCGAAACATATATGAAGTGGACGGAAAAATAGATGGATAGTATAAACCTGAACAACGTTGACATACCGATTTGCTGAGATGGTACCCAGTATTTCCAATCTTAGACCACCCAATTACACCTTTTTCTGAATATTTTATATATCATTTTGTAGGCAGTGAAAGCCTGTCCACTGATATATAAAGTGGATTGGTTAACGATAAATTGGCTGGATAATATAAGCGATGAGCGCTGTTGGCATATGAATTTGTGGAGGTCGGGACTTGTATTTCTGGTGTTAGGATACCCCGACCCAATTTGACCTCAGCATTATATATATATCATTTTGTGACCCGTGAAATTCTCTATCCGGTGGTATACAGTGGTTGAGGTTGCTCTGAGCAAAAGAGAAGAAATGAGTAAACTACTCTAAATAAAGTTCATCTAAGGGGGGAAAAGTTTGAATGCGAAATTTTTTCTGGAGGAAAGGGGAGAAGATGGGTTATTTAAGGTGCTAGTTTCAACCACTGAGAAAAGTACATTAGACCTGTGAATATGAGAATGATCTGAGAGGCGGCCGATTTTGCCTCTTATCGACTCTGTCCTTTGACTACCCAAATCTTTTAGGAAATTATTAGATTCGTACAAATAAAAATTTAATATTTTAGGAGATCAGAAATGTTTAACAATTCCACGAACAAATGGTCAACGTTAACAACAAACACCAACAATGGGGGCAAATTATATTGTTTTTCAGATCACTAAAGACACCTAATTTTCTTGGCTTTATTGGCAACTCGGTTTTTAACCTAAGTACAGTACGGCTTCTCGAAAAATTCCTCTGATAGAACTGAAATTTTTACTAGAGATACTTCCAAGAACACCTCAGAATGTGAATGTTTTTTTGTCAAACATTTTTTCTTTCCAAAATGAATTATCACAAAAAGACCATTATTGTCGATGTCGTGTAGTAGTGCCAGGTACATATCATAAAAAATATTAACTTTTTGTATTTTTATATTTATAAATAATAATAATAATAAGTACACAGACAATACTATAAAATTTTATTCTCTTCTGTTTTCTATATTCTAACATAAAATTCATCATTTTTTAAGAAAAATACAATACCATCATCCATTAATCCACCATTTTTGCATAAATCTTCAATCCGTCGATGAAGTACCAATTGTGAACGAGATTGTGATGAATATGGAAATGTAATTGATGGACTTTTGTATTCACGTCCGTTGATATCGCCATTCTCTTGAGCTTTTTTATTATTTATATATAGAGAATTTGATTCAAGAAAACGATAAGCCGATGAATCTGTTGATACTTTAATTCCTAAATTTGTATTATTATTAATTGATTTTAATTGATCAGGTAGAGTGAATTTAATTGGTTGAATGAGTGAATTTGATTTTGATGGATGACAGAAAATATTAATTGTTAAATATTTTCCTTCGACTTTACATTGAATTCGAATTGATGATGGAGGTAGACGAGATTGATGAGACGATGATATTCGTTTATCTTGAGCATATTGATCCAATGATTTATGATCATTATCAGAATAAGGAGTAACGCTATGATAAGTCATTCTAAACAAAAATATTTCATTATGAAAATATTGAAAAGTTTTCTTATCTCACTAAAAAAATGACATTAAAACATTTTTGTATTCTATTAGAGTTTTTCACTCATTTCTTATGTAAAAAGTTGAAAATGAAAATCTATAAATGACAAGGAGTTAAAAGAAGAGATCACGCATCGATCAAAGTAAGAAAAAATTTTCTAATTTCAAATCCTATTCGGATTAAATACCGAATTAATTAAATCGAAAAATAATCGGATTTATCGGATCAAATTTTTAAAAAACGATTTCGGATCGAAATTTTATGGTCCGATTCAATTACTAAAAATACGAATGAGACAAAAGGTTTTTTGAAATTGGTCCGAAAAAGATGTTTGGTCTCAAACCTGATCCTTTAAAATATTTGATCCAAATTTTCGTTTCAGCCATATCTTATAACCTATCATAATTTTCATTTTAATACGATTTACAAATTACATTCGATTTATACCATCTCATGAGAAAAATAGAGTATCTATTTTCAGAATAAATCGCTTACCTTTATGTTTGTTAATCTCGACTCATATGATCTGACACACAAAACACAAAACCACTTTTTCGTTCTTTCTTTCTCTGTCCCTCCTCTCTCCCCATTTGCCTCAATGTAGACTAAATACTACAGTTCGAGTATTTGTTAAGTTGCTAACAGTATCAAACCATAAATTTTTGTGGTCAACACGCACACCCACACAACTTTTGACAGTTTCAGTTGTAAAGGTGGGGAGCTATATAGTGCGTATAAGTATCGTCTTCTTTATAAGTTTTCCTTGTTATAATTTCTTTTCTTTGGGCGATTGAATACATGATTCGTTTTTTTGAAAATAATTATATTTAGTAGATACTTGGCGGCGTGATCACGTAATCCTGTCACAGTGGGCAACCACGTATACATTAGATGAAAAAAATGAAAGTGAGTTTTTTCAAGATTCGAAAAGTAGGTCATGTACTCCAACTTACGTTTCATTTAACTGGTACAGGAAGTTTTGTTAGTGAGAAAATCGAAAAGAAAATTTTTGTCGAAAAACAGAGCGATGCAAATCGAAAAACAATTTTTAGCAAAATAGAATAGAATATTTATAAAAAAATCATACACCGTTTGGAACTAGACATTCCACTCTACCTATAAGAAAGAAATTCTTTTTCTTTGGACCAAAAGAATAATTCTTTTTCTAGGCTAAGGATTTTCCAAAGAGTGGTCCTCTGTACAGTAAGTAGGTACAGTTTCAAATTGGACGAAACTTTCACAAAATCTTCCTTTACTAACGATAGATCTGTGCAGTTAGTTTCTGGGCCCAGTTACTGGTTTTCCAAAAAAAATCTCGATTTTTCCAGTAAAATCTATTTTTCTCATCCTAGAAGCAGTCTCATTCAAATTCCGTTACGGAATTTTGATGTTTTATTTTTCTTCTCATATTTTAATGAAGCAAGTTTCAGAGCTGTGCAATATGTACAACTGTAGAGCAAACTTTTCTGAATCAAAAGAAATGTGTCCAGATTCTGCATGGTCTTTCATTTAGGAAATACAAAGAAAATACGGAATACCCTTTTCTACAGAGCTGGGCAGCTCCGGCTCCGGAGCCGTCTCCGTTTATAAACGGAGCCAAGCTGGACAGGAAGCGTTGAGTTCAGAGCCGGAACCGGAGCCGGTATGTGAATGATGATGTCCGCGTTTGATCGAGATAAAAATGATACTCTTACGGCAGATAGTTATATGAGTGTGTGCGTTGATGACACGTTAATATATGCTGCCTCAGTCTTGACCTTCTTCTATTAAATGTAACACTTTCGAAAGAAGATTTTTTATGTATATATTATGCAGTTATAGAGTATACTTGTAGTTCAGAACGATTCTCATTTTCATATTTTTCCTTAGTTGAAAGCCTAGAAAATTCAATCGAAAGAAAAACAAGGAAGAATAAACATCTTTTGGTGCCATACCCGGATGTGAAAACTCTAAGAGAGGAGCTGGAGCCGAACAGAAAAACTTGGAGCCGGAGCTGAAGTGGAGCCGAAGCCGGGCGGGGTCAGAGCTGCCCAACTCTACTTTTCTAACTTTATTTAGAAGAAGTAGCGTTTAGCATTTTCTTTGTATTTCCTGAATAAAACATTACGCAGAATTTGGACACATTTCACTTGATTCAGAAAAGATTGCTCTACAGATGTACATATTGCCTGGGAGTTGTTTCATTCAAAAATGAGAAGAAAAAATAAAACTTCAAAATTTCGTCACGGAATTTCACATCAGTAGCAGAGTTACGTAGTCATGCCGTTGAGCAGAATCACTTTCTTTTCTATTTTCAATTAAAAGACATATTACTGAGAGAGAGAGTTCTAATAAACAACAGATGTAGTTGTTACCTTTACTAGTCCATTTCGATACAGTCGCTCACTCAATTTATTGACAGATATTATGATGCCATAAAAAATATGATTAAGCAAAAGATATATATATACTATTTTTATTACCTTTAGTGTGGTTTTACGCGTTCTGTGTTTGTCTGTGTGTTTTTCTTGTTCTTGTCACTTTGCATCGCTACCTTTTTAAAAAAAGCGAAAAAAAAGAGAAGTTCTATCATGTTTCTAATCCAAATCAATAATTCCTCCTTGAGATGACAGTGATACTTCAAGAACACATACTCGCGTAGTAAAAGAGTATCAAGTGCTCGGTTAGTCACTTATGGGGGATCGTTTGCAAAATCTCAAAGCAAATCATGCAAAGCTGTCCGAAAAGAAATGTTTGCTCTACATTCTTGCCGAATCACAAGATGTTTAACGAAACAATTTATAAAACGGAAGATTTTTTAAAAAATATGAAATTCGTGGGCAATTACTTGGTGCATATCTTTCTGTTCTGGATTAAGATAAAACTTTTATCAATCAAAAACAGAAACAGTGAAGAAAAAGATAACACTCCATGATTCGATTTAAATTTGTTTTAATACACAATAGATCAGAAAAGAAGTGTAATTAATTACTTCGATTTTTTCATATAAATCAGTTAGCGTATTAGATTGATGAAGCTAACGAAAGAAAAAAATATTCTTTCCGTCAATCGATATTTGAGCGCCCCGGACAATTGAGCGATCCGGCATTAGACACTTTTCAGTATGACTTTTTTTCGATCAGGAAAATGGAATGATTGTTCACCCAACGATTAATAAAGATGATGATAACAATTTCTTTGTCATTCTATTATGCACTGAATCATTTGGCGGTCTGTAAAGACGAGGGTGATGGTGAACAACTATAAGTGCTGCACTTATATCTATTGTCGAGCTTGCTCAAACGTTGGAGTTGTTCAGATATCCGTCGCTTGAATGTCGGTCGCTCAAACGTCGGTTAATCAATCATTTTTTCTCAAATATATAGTACTTGACATGGCAGATATTAGGACTATTACAAAATTATTGGAAAAACAGTCGATTTTATGATCACTCACCCTCCAGGTCAGCGCGTGAAAATCTTTGCTCCGATCAGTGCTAACTAATAACGCAATCTATTAATCTATTTTCAAAATGGTGACAAGACGAATAGCATCCAGGTACAACTAAACGTGATTGCCATACAAGATTTAATGGAGAAAATATGTGAAATTTGATTTTTTTTACATTAGGTACAAAATTACATAATTGAGAAATTTAATTCTTTTTCTGATGAGTAACTTTGTCATACAAACCTTGAGATATAAACTTCTTATTGCCTTATCATTTTCAAATACGTATTATGTTTTTCTTTCTATTGACATATTTTATTTGACTAAATAGACTTTACATTTGTAAAGCTTTAATCTTTCTTTTAGAAATATATTTTTCTGACTACATAATTTTGCAACATAAAATCTGAATCTACATACACTGTCACAACAGAATAAATTATGAAAATATGTCGAATAAGTCTCTGAGTTTGAGCAGTTGATGTTGTCGATGATATTATTTAATGCAGGATCCATTGGTGATTGCGGATGAGTTAGTTGTTCAACTTATATTTGTTGATGATGAACACAAACTGAACATATTTGGATCGAGGGTTTTTCAACGATTTATCATTGATTTTTTTAATTAAATCATGAGTTTCAGCCAATTTTCAGGAGACATTTGGTTGAAATGTGTCACTATTATCGGAGGTTGTTGAAATAAATGGATTATTTGCATTTTTAAAAGAGGAAAATGAATCAAGCACTGCTGAATGAATTAGCCAGAATACCAAATGCATCAGATGAGAAACCATCATTCATGGATGGTGTTGGGAATGGGTCATCTGTAAAACTGCTTGAGTTCGCCATTTTTTCATTTGAAAACGATTGAGGAATGGATGTGACAGATGGTAGAGTGTTAGAGAGATCTATCACTTAGAATTTATATAGAAATAGTTACTTTATACTATTCACCAATAAATATTTTCTCATCCTCTCCTAATAACGGTACAGTTTACAGTGAGTAAAAAAATGCACCGCTTTTTCTAAATATAGTGGCACAAATACAGGCACACAAATATCGCACACTCATTATGCAACAGATTTAAACACAATATTCTCCATGGTAAAAAAAGAATAAGATTTTGACTCACTTTTGCCCTTGAAAAGCTCTATTGCTCGATAATAATTTGAAAAGTTTTCATGCTCATTCTTACGACATACACCAGTAATCTTCTTTTACAGATTTTCGAGAAATCAGTTGTTTCGGTTTGCGATATCGGGGCTCCTGAGAAAAGAGGCAGAACTACGTCAAAAACAGCGTCTTTTAGGTTCGGATTTTCTTTATTTGGATGGGAAATGACTACTGTGCCAGATTCAAGGGCGAAAGTTGAGCTAAAATTCTCTTTTTCAATTCATCTAGCTAAACATATCAGATTTGAGCCATTTTTGAATAAGATTTTGAAAAGTTGGAATTTTCGATCTTCAGTTTGCTTGCAAGGACCTCAGAGCTTCATGAGTAGAAAAAACACACTTCAAAGTATTCAAAAACATCTTTATTACCCTTTTTATGTTTTTGAAATTCTAAAAAGGATTATAAATATTGTTTAAAGAATGAATTAATTGTCCTTTTGAACCTATTATGTTTTTTTTCCTATTTTGGTTTAGTTTTGTACAGAAAAACGTTTGACACAGCTTGGAGAATTCATCGGGGTATTTTTTGAGTCTAACCTTAACTCTCCGCAATCAAAGCTGAGCGAGATATTTACGAAATACAGAGTGTACCATTATTTCTGACGCACTTGTTATGAAACAGGTTTTAAATACAATAATCTTCATTTTTTGTAAGGCAATAGAAACTCAAAACAAGGAGTAGGAAAAACCAAGAAAATTCTCTTGGATTTTAGGGTGAATCCATGGGAAACGTACTACCTTTCTGGGAAAATGCTTTTTTAGTACTTTTTTTTGTGCAATGCGTAGCACCGAACTAAAAAATATCTTTGGCCGAAAAAAATTTGGAACTTGTTCATTTAATCGTTGAGATCTGGTCGCATCTCTTGGTACATGTCTATGACACGTAAATTACCCATTTCGACAAAGCAAAGAGGATGAGTATTTTTTTAATTACTATTGACAGGAACATGATAGAGAGCTGCGATTTTCACCGTTGGAAAGAGTCGATGAAAATGTATCGAATCATATAAGACAATGACTTTCAGGCTGGTCTTTTGATCCTGTTTGTGATAATTTAGTTTAAACAACGGTACGAAAACTCATCACTTTTCATAGTGTTTTTTAAATTTAATCGTGGCGAATAGCTTCAAAAGTCATTGTCTTATATGATTAGATGCGTTTTTGTTTACTCTTTCCAACGGTGAAAACCGTAGCTCTCTATGATGTTCCTATGAAAAGTTATTCAAAAAATAGCAATCCACATCTCTCTGTCTAAATGGTCATTAGTCATTCTGTGTGCCCTTCTA